AAAGCTTTCAGTGCTCTTTCCACTTGGTTCAGGTTCAATTCACTTTAAGTATAACCAGATTTGGAAATCCCAGTCTGAGTGTTACCTACTAAGGAGTATCCACAAAAGGAAACCTGTATGGCATTCTTTTCCTTCCTCCCTCACTTCATTTTGATATCATCAAGTAGTATAACACTAACTTTGGGTATCATAGAAAACACTGAGGATGCACAAAATATTTGTGTACTCATAGAAGAGTAACACAGAGTCATTCTTACAGTTTGATCTTTGAACCTAAAATTGGTGGGAACATTCTTTAAAAACAGAAACACGGGGCCAGGCACGGTGGCTCACGCCTGTAATCCCAGCTCTTTGGGAGGCTGAGGCTAGTGGCGGATCACGAGGGTCAGGAGATGGAGACCATCCTGGCTAACACAGTGAAACCCAATCTCTGCTAAAAAAAAAAAAAAAAAAAAAAAAAATACAAAAAATTAGCTGGGTGTGGTGGCGGGCACCTGTAGTCCCAGCTACTCGGGAGGCTGAGGCAGGAGAATGGCATGAACCCAGGAGGTGGAGCTTGCAGTGAGCCAAGATCACACCACTGCACTCCAGCCCTGGCAACAGGGCAAGACTCCGTCTCAAAAAAAAAAAAAAAAAATAGAAACATGGTTTGAGATTTACATCAATTTGATTTTAAACCCAATTACAAGGTTTTATGTAATCTTTGGAAGGTGCTACCAAATGAGTACCTTTCCAAGTGTTAAATATTGTACTAGGAGCCAAAGACACAGTCACTAGCACATCTACTGTTTCAGTGTAAACTCTCAGAAGGCAAAACAAAGCAAAATAGACTATCTTACCTCTCAGGGTTGCTATGATTCTTTTTATGAGGCACTAGTGCAATACACAATAACTAGCTTGTAATAAGGGGGCAAAGCAGCTCACCTTATTCATTCCCCACCCCCAAATCTAGTAGCTCTCCGTTGTTCTATTTTAACCACTCTGATGACACTTTTCTCCTTCTATTATTTGATCATTTTTCACTGGGCCAATAACTTTTACTACTCTCTGCCAACAACCCCATAGACTTCACCTAACAGTCTTGTTTTAAAAATATAGTACTTTCCAATTCCATAAAATTAAATCCAACTGCTTAACTTGGCACACAGGGTCTAGCTCTAGTTCACCTTTCTGCCATTTTATTTCTGACATTCCCTATCCCTAAGCCTATACTGAGCCTTTCTCCAAGCCTTCCATGGCCTTTTATATAGATGACTTTGACCATTTTAATCTTTATGACTGGAGTGCCTGGACTGATTTTGTCTACTCCATAGACCTGTAACTAACTTTTAAAGGTTATCTTAGTTTCAGCATTTTCCACTGCTCCCATTCCCTAACTCCATGGTCAAACTATAATACTATCCCATCAACTTTTTCATGATTCCTTCATTTACACCTTTACGTATACTCATCAGTAAAGCTCCCCCAAAATGGCAGCTATGGGTTCATGTATCTTTCTCTCGCCAGTACCTAGCATACTGCTCAGCTTGCAAAAGCCATCTAGTTTTTTGGAGCAGGGAGGGGAGAGCTACAGTCGAAATGATTTTTCTAAATTGGTATCTACGCTGCCTGATTTAGTAAAGAAAACTGTTTCTGGGCCAGGCATAGTGGCTCATGCCTGAAATCCCAGAATTTTAGGAGGCTCTTTTGAGCTCAGGACAAGACTGCAATGAACTATGATTGTACCACTGCACTCCAGCCTGGGCAACAGAGTAAGACTCTGCTTCTTTAAATAAATACACAAAAACAAAAGAACTGCTTCTGTTGTATTTCATGCCTACACCTCTAAAGTTTTCAATAGTTTTCTCAAAGCTTTTAAAGAAGTTTCTATCTTATTAAAACAAAAAGGAATAAAAATGAAATAATTATCAGTGAATAAAGCATGTGCCCACATAATCATTAAGACTTTAACCACTGCCAGGTGCAGGTGGCATGTGCCTGTAGTCTCAGCTACTTAGGAGGTTGAGGCAGGAGGATCCCTTGTGAATGACCACTACACCGCAGCCTGGGTGATGTAGCAAGACCATGTCTCTTTTAAAAAATGGTGGTGGGGGCCGGGCGCGGTGGCTCACGCCTGTAATCCCAGCACTTTGGGAGGCCGAGGCGGGCGGATCACAAGGTCAGGAGATCGAGACCACGGTGAAACCCCGTCTCTACTAAAAATACAAAAAATTAGCCGGGCGCGGTTGTGGGCGCCTGTAGTCCCAGCTACTCGGGAGGCTGAGGCAGGAGAATGGCGTGAACCCGGGAGGCGGAGCTTGCAGTGAGCCGAGATCGCGCCACTGCACTCCAGCCTGGGCGACAGAGGGAGACTCCCTCTCAAAAAAAAAAAAAAAAAAAAAAAAAAAAATGGTGGTGGGTAGGCAAATTCCCTCTCTCAGCTTTGGAGCACCCCCCACCCCCGCTACCCCAGCTTCCCGGGTCTGTATGGGGGAGCTTCTTCCTTCTACCTTCTTTCTGGCCTATTAAACTCTCCACTCCTTAAAACCACTCCATGTGTGTCCATGTCATTTTATCTAAAACAGTATGAGTACCAAGAACCCTGGTGTTCCTTCCCTCATCAGAGCTGTTATCATTTTGGTGCATTGGCCCCTAAAAGAAATTCATTCATCAGATTGGTGAGTACGCAGCGGATTTCAACTTTAAATCTGTCCTATAATCTCAATGCTTTCTTCCATCTACCCTGTCGCCAAACTTTCTCTTTTTATCTGCAGTCTCTTACCCTCTGTGTGTGTGTCTACTGTGCAGGAATCCTTACAGTTTAGGGAAGAAATGTCTGTTAGAAAAGATGGAGAATCACAGCAGGCAGTAGTAACTCAGTAACTCTCTCTCCGGTTTCTCTGGTAGAAATCAAGCTCTAGGACTCTTTTGAGAACAGAAGTTTCTGCTTTTAAGTTAGGAGTAAAATGTCTTCCACAGCCAGATTTTAGTCCTGATATTGTCCTATTAGTGGGAAAATGGCCATTCCAATTCCTACTTTTTTTTAAGGCATCTATTCTGTCCCAGTTAACATAGTACTTAATTAGTAAGGGAAGTTTAAGTTCCGAAGTTAACCAGAACTGTTTTCTTTTAAGTGTAAATGCTTTAGCACAGGCCGTAATAGCAGGCAATCTATAGCACACTGCCCCCATTAAAGGAGCCTTGCCCAAAGGCTACAGTCTCTCCAGATCGTTTTTTTTTGGGGGGGGGATCCAGGCAAATCACACTGGTTCGAGGAAGTCAAAGGGAAATCACACAAGGCGGATACGCTAAGGCTGCTTGGGTACACGTGGTTAGCCCCATCACTTAGTTCATCCGGATCCACGGCCTGGAGGACCACACCTACAACCATAGGGGAGCACATTTAAGAAAGTGCCGGAATCCAGAAACCGGGGAGGTAAGATATTCAGAGGATACTCCCTGTCTTCTCCTCCACTCTGGGTCATACAGAAAGGAAGGAAACTAAGAAAACGTTTTTATTCTTGCTTCTTTTTCTAACTGGGTAATAAATTGTCTTCAGCTTGCACCCCTCTGGAGTGCACTCTGAAACACTGGAACTTCCTTAACCTCAGAACTTGAAAGAAAGCAACTCATTTTCTTTTGCACAACAGCATGGCATTTCTACTAAACCTCTGCAAGTGTTTTAAGATCAACTCAGATCTTTTAGCAACCATATTGGGCAAGCCCAGGGAAAACAGTTACCCAAAATTAAAAAAAAGTAACTTTCAGGGAAATCATCTGAGGGTCCCCCTTATTTGGGGCACCTTCAAGTTCCCTGCTCATTGCAGGACTTTACACAAATAAAAGGAGATTTAGACTGATTTTCTAACAACCCTACTAGGTATACAGAAGCTTTCCAAAATTTAACTCAGGTATTTAACCTCACACGGGAGGATGTTATTGTCTGGACATGGGGGAGAGGACAAAGACGACTAAGATGGCGCATTTCCAGGTTCTTTATCACCAACTTACGCATAGGAAAATGTAGCCCGCGCCCCGGAAAAATGCAGACCAACTGCGTAGGCGCAACGTGACGTCCGAAGGAGGAAACCGAAACCTACCTGGCCGTGCCTAGGGAATGCCCCCGACACGCCGGTGTCCCGCCTACTGCCCTCCCACTCCCAGGCCCTAGACATAAAAAGCCACTCCCAGCAGACGTCCAGCGCGAACTTCCTCGGCCCCTCCTCATATGTGGACCTAGGAACCTCACCCGAGAACGCAGGAGCGACTTCCTCAGCCTCCACCGCCGGAGCGACTTTCTCAGCCTCCACCGCCAGAGCGACTTTCTCAGCCTCCACTGCGGGAGACCAGTGAACCTTGCCCTTTCCTCCTTCACACTGGCTAGCTGATAAAGCTTTTTTTTTTTTACCTTACCTACTTGCCTCATCTCTGGCGCCTGCTCCGGTGGTCGCATAAAACAAATCAGTTATGTTGCTGCTAAGTCAAGCCCTCACTGTGGCTAAAACAGGCAGCTCTGCAAGCAGAAGAGAATTTTGGAGATAAGCAATGTATCTCCCATAGTACGCCAAAAGGGAAAAGAAAAAATAGGGAAGGCAAAGAAATAGAGGAAACACCATTCTCAATAGGAAGAGAGGCAATACTTCTTGAAAACCCTAACTGGAATTCCTTTCTAGTTTTTCCTTTTTTCATGGTTTAACATGGCTTCTGTCTCTTTCATAATGTTCTTCCAACCTGAAAAAGGTTAATTTTCCAAACCTTAAAACGCTTGGCTTAAAGTTAAGCTCGGGGGAAGGGAACCCAGAAGCCTGATATGCCAGCAAAAGCGTAAAAATGTCTTACCAACTGGGCTTTTGGCTTTTCTCTCCCTGTGCAAACTGGCAAAAGGGATAATAAGGATCATTGTTTATATTCTCTGTAAATTTATAATTAATGAAGAAGGATTTGTGAGGTTGGTCTTATGCTATAAACAACGTGGTGTGCTTTGCATGTCTTTCTGTATGGTTCTGTCAAAGAAAGGGTACCTTAGGTTAGGATGCAGGCCCAGGACTCCATAAGCCTGCTGTTCAAGCCAGCCCGTAGCAAGCTTGGTTACAGCCTCCATCTCATTTCATGTCCTTGGGAACATGATCTGCAACCGCGTGGCAACACTTTGTTTTAGTCTTCACCATTTCACAATGGTGGCTGTCTTCTTGTGCTAAGTCAGTTCCTGGGTGAGGGCCACAAAATCAGATAATCCAGTTAGTCAATCAGGATGGTACCAGCTGATCCATCAAGGGCAGGGTTTACAAAATATCTTAAGCCTGACCTTGAGAGCAGTTTAGGGAAGGTCAAAATCTTGTAGCTTCCAGCTGCATGGCTCCTGGGCCATGGTTTCTAATATTGTGGTTAGTTTCCGGTCTGGTCCCCAGGCAAGAGGGAAGTATATCATGGGAGGCGGCTATTATCAGCTATTATCATCTTTGTTTTTGACTGTAGAATGTAAACTCAGCTCCTCCCAAAGTTTGTTTGGCCTACCCTGAGGGATGGGCAAGGACAGCTTGGGGGCTGGAAACAAAACGGAGTTGTTTGGGTTGGATCTCTTTCACTGTCTCAATCACAATTTTGAAAATACTTTGTACACACTCAGTTGAGTCAAAACCTGATTAAGGCTTGCTGGTTTCACCGTGAGTTTACTTTCAAAAGTTCTAAAGCCGAAAATCTTAAATGCTTGGCATGGCTAAAGTCAAGTAACAGGGGATTTAAAAGGATTTCCTTAAAGAGTGCTCAGTTTAATTAAAAGTGGATATTCAAGTTATAGGTATATTTAAAAGGCTTTTATGTTTTTCTCTTCTTGGATCCTGCTTTTCTGGAAAAAGGCTCTCCTCTTCTCAGTCGACTGAATTATTTTTCTTCATTTTTTGTCTTACCACTCTTAATGCATGCATGAGAGGTCTTAAGATAACTTTTGGTAGCATGGAACTTCTTGGGAAAAACGAGATGCCACAGACCCCGTTTTGGGAAAAAAAAAACCCGTTTCTTTCCTCATGAAATCCCAGGAATTAAAAGGAGATGGATCCCTCTCAAAATCAAAGGCTCTATTCTGTTTTGCACTGTGTTATCTATTGTGTTTTAAGTATGGGGGGGGGGTATCAAATTACTTCACATTATGAAAAGCTTTGGTGTGTAATAACTAGGTAGAAAACACACTGTAAGGGATGGCTAATAGTAGTTATAAATTAGAAAAGTATGCTCTTGGCCACCTGGAAGATAAGGAAACATCCTCACCCCGCACTGGGAGATGAGACCCCCCTCAGGGATGGACTGATTACAAAATAAGCCAATTGGCTTTGGGTTGCCTTGCAATGAAATGCATGGTAGAAGCACTACAGTGTCTTCTCCCATTATATTTATATGTTCTTTTCATAAATTAAGCACTGAAATAAAAGCATAGCAAGAAGGTCTTAAGGCACAATCCACCCTTTAGTAAAAAGGTTGTGAAAGGTTTGTAAGATTTTTACTTCATGGTCAAATTGGTTAAAATTAGATGAAATAATCTATAAGGTTTCATTTAACCTAATTGGGGTTAACATCAATAAACTAATGCAATTGTAAAATTTGGCTTTAAACAAAATTTTCATCTCATAGTAAAGACTAATGAAAGGTTTTTGCCTTTTAAGTCATCATTTTGGCAAAATAATTTATGCCAATCTGGAAATTGTCCTTACTGATGCCTGGCTTTCTGGATGGCTCAGAGGGCCCCTGAAACATTCAAAGAAAAGGTAGACAGGATTATTTGACACGTTTAGTTACATAAGATTGCCAAGATGATGTCCAATCTTCTTTACATTATATTTCGGTAAATAATACTAATACACGTTCCAAACTTGTATGGGATTTCTAAAATTCTAATGCCCAAGTATATGCTATCAATCACAATTAAGGGTAAAGTTACTGTAAACCATGGAAATAAATAAATTAATCAGTCATGTTTTTAACTGTAGCTATCCTGAAAATTTTGTCATTTGCAGACAATTGTTGTCTTGCTTTGTTCCTTCTCAAAAGATGGTTTATAATCAAGCTATATTAAGGACATTAACAGGTGTTCTCAAATGCCGGTTTTTAATAGCTTTGAAGATTGTAACACTGAAATTGAGAAAGAAGGTATGGGACTTCTAAAGAACTGACATGTTCACAAATATCAAGCAAAACAAGAGTTAACTAAGTGGATTGCACTTAAAAAGTTTAAGCAACTTTTTAACTTTTGCTAGGAATATTGTTGATCCTTGTTTTGTTTTTCAGAGTCAAGGAAACTTAAACTATTTACGGCCTTTAATAATTGAGTAAGGTATACTACTATAACAAAATTTGGAGCAAGTTTGTAAGGTCCTCTGAGCTGGCTGCACCATGGTCAAGCCATCGTGATATTCCCCCGCCTTTGTGATAATGTACTTTGTGATATTCCCTGTCCTTGTGAATATACTTTGTTACATTCCTCCCTGCCCTTATGACAATACACCCTCCGGCCCTTGTGAATGTACTCTGTAACATTCCTTCCTGCCCTTGTGAATGTACTCTGTAACATCCTCCCCGCCCTTGAGAATGTACTTTGTAACATCCATCCCTTGCCCACAAAAAAACTGCTCCTGACTCCAACACCTATCCCAAAGAACCAATGCTAATATAAGAACCAATGCTAATATAAGAACTAAAGCTAATCCCACCATCCTTCACTGACTCCTATCTCAGACTCAGCCCACTTGCACCCAAGTGAGTAAACAGCCTTGCTGATCACACTAAGCCTGCTCAGGTGGTCTTTATACAGACATGAGTAACAATGTTCATTTTTCCCCACCTGGTTCCTCTTTAATTTGGAGACCACCTGTAAGTACTCTTAACTTATAGCAATATAGTTGTTTGCATTAGTGCAGTAAGAATCCATTTTTCTTTGTCAACGGGACACAGTCGGAAAAACTGGTTATTTTACCAAGGCTTTGACTTAAAGGGTGTGTCTCCCTTTAAGGAATCAAGCTTGACATGCAGAGCCAATAAAAGCCCCTGGGAGAACTGGCATCGTACCTTGTCTACACAGTCCCTGCACAGGGTTCCTAACCTGTGGTCAGTGAAGAATGTCACTTTCTAACAGCTCTGGAAGCTCCAAGTTTCTGGGGACCTCAAGAAGAGAGGATCACCCAACTTACAGGTATTTGAAGAAACAAACCCACGGCTGGGCTCGGTTTTAAAGGTCTTACCTAAGATTCCTTGTGGAACAGAGTTTCATCAAAGCCAATCCAAAAGACCTATGTAGAAAAACTATTCTTGCTAACACTTCATGCAAATAATCAGGCCAAGTATAAGATTAAAGTTCATTCACAATTGGTTTTTACCAAAAATGAGAACTGGAGAGAAAAATTGTGCCCCAAAGCTTAGCATACATTTGTCATTAAATCCTAGTCTCATTAACGGTGTTTAAGCTTTTTGCCTACATTTTAAACTAATCCTGCTTATTCCTGTGACTCAAGTGGTAATCTTCTGCAGCTCAGAAGAAAGAAAAAGGGATGGGTAATGTAAAAATCTGAATCAATATACTAGTTCTGGGCAATTATCTTGCAAATTCTGCCGGGTAATGAAAGTAAGTAGGGTACCCATAACCCGGAGGTTTCTTTGCTTAGGAAAATAAAACTAAAGCTTCATAGACCACCAAAGGGAAATTACCTTGGCAACTACAATTTTAGATGGAAATCATCTACTACACCACACTTGTGGGAACTGGTATACTCACTTTACTGTTTGCAATAGGAATACACACAGTAGCACCTTCTAACTGAAATATTGGGCAGAGTTTCCATTTCTGTTGTATTTTGCTTAATTATTATCCTTATAGCAGGAATAATAGTTACTGACAAGGAAGCATGAAAATTTTACTATCACTGAGTCTGCTAGGACTTTTTATTGGGTTTAGGGATGATTAACACCTCTAGTAAAGTAGAGAAAAATCTGCAGGTACTTAAAGATCAAATCAAAATTATTGACAGGCTCAGGGAAAACACCATATTCAACCCCATGTGGCTACCCTCTTTAATAAATTCCAGTCTTCTTTATGGAATTAGATAACTCCTTTATTAAGCCCTCTCTTTTTATACGTCTTGTATTGATATTTGGGTCCTGTATATTCAATACGGTAACTCAAATTGTTTCTTCTCACCTAGAAGCAATCAAACTCCAAATGGTGTTGCAAACTGAACCACACATGGACACGGCATTCTTCCGAGGATCCTTACATCAACCCCAGGAGGAGCCCAAGTTGCTGTTCCCCATTTGATGCCCCTTTTCAGCAGGAAGTAGCCAAAGGAGTTGTTGCCCAAAACCCTCTAACGGCAGTTAGTGTGGTATTCTCCACAGGGAGGAATGTTGTAGGAGTTATTAAGAAATATTTTAGGCAGAGAGGAAAAGGGGTCCTTAGAAAGTTTTCATTTTTTTAAGCATCTCTGGAAAAGTTTCTTGTAAAGCCCAGGCTCTTAGAGCCAGGCCAGCAAACACTGCGATTCCCACAGCCTTCTTGCCTTTGCCCCACATGTTCCTGGAAACATGGCCACCCCCACATATCCCCATGTGGGTAGAACATCATGGCGCCCTGCATTTGCATACTAAAAGACTAGGGTGGGAGGGCCAGATTTTTCATGAGCTACATGAATGATGTGCCTAGTCAAACCAATCCCCTGAGCCCTATGCAAATCGAACACCACCTCCTCCAGTCTCTGCATATATACCTGGCTGGTGTCTACCACACTTGGGGTTCCCTTATCTTGGCTTTGGAGCCTCCCTCCATCTCTGTATGGGGGAGCTTCTTCCTTCTGCCTTCTCCCTTCTTTCTGGCCTGTTAAACTCTCCGCTCCTTAAAACCAAACAAACAAACAAACAAAAAAAGGATTTACCCACCATTAAATTATGTATGGTCTCATCATTTGAAGCTTTAAATACACTTCAATAATACAAAGCCATAAACTGGACATGCAACATGAGCTATACAGATGCTCTGCAATCAAGTTAAAATCAAGTTGCACAAGTCTCAAGTTGAAATTCTATTTTTTAAAACAGCTCCACAATTTCAGGTTCAGAAAACAAAAAGTCAGAACAACTTTTTGTTACTGTTCCAAGAGTCACAAATATTTTTTGCATCTTCAATAGGTTCTGCCAGGCCTCTGAGCCCAAGCTAAGCCATCATATCCC